GAGTCTTCCGTGTTCATAAATGTTCGTGATGTGTAAATAGAATGGGAATGCTGAATTTACTTTATGAAGAAACAAATCAATCGTTTACGCGCGTGCGTTGGAGAATTTTCGCACTCGTATGGTGGCGCTGATCGAGATGAAGCGAGACGAAAATGATCAAACAAATAACGGTTGTGCAAAAGTCTTAATGGTAAAGCCGCAAGGAGGAACACTCCGCGAAACGATAAATCAATTATAAACTCGATATTGAATTTTAAAGGCGTACTGTTTGAACGTGACGTAAATTACATTGTGATTTTTACCACTTGGTATATTGTGCTAATCGTAGGTATAATCTAATATTAGAACTACTTAAAGGCACGATCTAGAATGACATGATAATAGAATAACAATGAATCCAGCAGTTCGATCCTTTTTTTCTCTTTTTTTTTTTTTTTTATCAGAGAAAGAGAGAAAGAGAGGGAGGCAAAATTCGAAAGAGACTCGACTTTTTCATTTATAAAATATAAGGTATTAAACCTGTTTGAATCTAGAGCGATGATCATTCGATTACCGAGATTATTTATCACTAAGGATCGTACTGCCTGTAATGCCGTAATTTCTAACAGCCTTCGTTTTAATATCGATAGAGTATTATATTGAGAATAATTAATATTTATTTCTGACTATGATTTTCAGTGCTATTTCTAATTGTCCTAATAAAACAAATTAATATACCATTTAAACCTTGTGTTCGTAATTGTCTTTTCAACAGACACGTAATCAATCCACTTTTCAAAAATAATTAGCCTTGTCATTATGTTTCAGATGACGCAAAAAATTACTTCTCTAACGAACGATGCTTCTCCATCATTTTCTAAAAATTCTTGTTTATTAGCATTAAAAGGATCTTTTTACATAATTAGATACGATGTATATATATACACACACATGTTATGTTAAAAATCTTTATACGAAGAGACCGAAGTAATGAGCACGACGAAACATGGCCTTGAGATTCGTTTTGTACTTTCTAACTAAGCAAAAGAATCAAAATGCCAGGTTCGACTATATATTTCTATACTAGTAAGTACCCTTGAGTCGATCATGAATGACTCAAAGATACTATTCTTTCTTCCGCTATGCCACGCTTGTGCCACGAAGAATCTTCAAGTACATAGTCATTAAGTAGATTTATTCATGTAATTCAAACGTTATTAATGCTAACTATCAAGCGCAAAGATAATTGTGTAGAAGAGTACAGATCAGTGCTAACAGCGTTGTTAATTATCACTAACCGAGACTCGTTAAAAAAACATTTCACACCGATGTTCGCATACACTCTCTAACATTTATCTTCAACTTTTGATTTCTATGTATTGCACATCTATATAAATCAACGAATATTTAACATTTCACAGCAACACTTCCAACGGTGGAAAACATCACTCATCACTAATCACGAGACCTTCTCTTAATACTTATGTTTCTATTAATTATTTTTTTTTAATTTATTTCCTTTATTCTCTATGTTCCACCTTTTCGTTCACGACGAACGAATTGCTTTTTGTCACTTACGTCTAGAATTGAATTTGTCATTTATAAATTTATAAAGTTCTAATATAATATTTATAAAGTTCTAATATAATATGTGATTGCGTTACATTGTTGGGAATATAGATTTTTAATATTATATTATAAG